AGACACTATCCCGGCATTTACCTGTGAAACCTGAGGAATACGCCTCTTATTTAATCACATTTTTTACTCCCACACTGGAGTAAAAAGCTTGAGGAAAAAGTTAGTCTATATTATATTTAATCAAAATATATGAGAGTTTTGAAGAGGGGTCCGCAGGCCAGGAACGTTGAGAAACGCTGTTTAGAGGATCGTGACAGTGTTTGATTCATTATATAAGTATTATTTTGCTCATTGCCGATTACCTGATGTACACACGACGTTTCGGGATTTGGATCGACTTCTGTCTTCAGTGGTCATGTACATCAAATATGCCTCAGGCATCGGAAAAATGTTAAACCCAATACTGGTATAATCTTCACTGGTACGGCACAAAATATGTGACACAGATCTCAGCTTTGTTTGCCTATATTTTATCTTGCTAGATCTTGTAAACAGAACACAGCTGAAAATAACACCCGAGGAAGTGTGTTTCGAAACTTACTGTAGTTTTAAACTGCCTCGGGATTCAGTAGGTGACATGCCTGTGCTGTGTATGTACAGCCATTTGTGTACGCAATTAGGCAACCAAGCATACGTAAGCAGCAAGCAGTAGCAATACCGGTTGCATAACTGGAGGGCAATTTTTCCATTTTTTGTTCTCTACGGATTCCTCTCTCTATTTTCTGTCGGTTTGCTGGTTAATTTTGTGAAGTGTTACGTTTAAAAGACCGTCACTTATTACATAGAGCTGTTATTAGTATGTTGTAATAATTGCAACTCAAATGAAAAAATATTCACTGCAGAATTGGGCAGTGACCTACTTTACATAAATAATTTAAATTATTACTCTATACAATTTTTAATAAACATTTCGAAAGAAACTAATATTCTGAGGAACAGAGGGTTGCTGGGAAATGGGTATTTTGAAGCATAAGAAGGGGTGGGTGAAGGAAAAACATGGTAATTAGACGTAGCAAGTAAGTAGGTTGTATATAGCAGCTTTGATGCCTTTGAAATATTTAACAGATGACAACCTCTTTCTTGTTTACTTTCCTGTACATTAATCACAAATTGTAACAGTCGAAGCTGGATATTTGAAATTCTCGTGGCAGCGAAGATGTAGACACAGGCATAAGAGGATAGCCGCTTCGAGAGACCACGAAAACCAACAAATCCCGAATACAAGACTCGATCAAAAATAGAACTTGGAAGAACAGAAAACTTTTATTTATATTGGGAAGAAAAAATTTTGTGACACAGAGTGTCTAAAAATACTGACCACACCAAACCAAAGCATATCACCCTGTCCCGGTGGCAATGCAACGCAAGCATCTTACAATTCTTAGGAGAATTTTTCTGAGGTTACAATTAAATTTATTTCTTCTGTTTTTCTTGGTACTGGGCGTGGAGTTAATAATAATCATTCAGTGTATAAAAATAATATATGTCCATATTGAAATCAATGACGTCTTTTCGGGTGATTAGCTCCGTAATTCTGGAGTTATAACCCAATCGTATTTTGAAAAATCAAATTTTTTTTTAGATTTGTATGTGTGTAAAGTTAGGATTCTGTGAACACAGCAATGAATGCAGGGAGTTTCTTAAACACCTGAGCGAAATATGAACTGCTTAATAAAGATTTTATACCACGGACATTTGATGCGATGAACCGCAAAATGTTCAGCACAATTTTCAGTAATCAGTTTTTATTTTGCTTTTTGCTTTCAGCTGGCCATGAGCACAGTCATTATCACGATCACGGTCATGGGGAAGAAGATTCCGATGTGACATTCATTAACTCAACAGATCATCACGGCCATAATGACGATCACCACCACCACCACCACCACTAACAAGGCTCCTTATTAGTCATGTACATCAAAAGAGAAGTTAATGAACTCTGACGTCACATGACCTGGAATTACATTGAAGTTTATTTAGTGTACTGATAACTGTAATCACGCTTGGGAAAGAAGAATGCAGAAACCCTTCACGGTTTTTTGTCTGTTGGACTGAATTAAATAAAGTATAGTTTGTAGTATATTATTTATGTGAATATTTGTTGAAGAAAAACTTTAAAAGAGTATTTAAAATGTAATAGCATAATATGGCTGTCAATGCTTGCCAGCTCTTGCCAAACAGTAATAATTTTTCGTTACTTATTTTTTTTTTCAACGAATAAAACAAGTGTCAATGACATTAATTTGTATTGTAATACTTTATAAATCACTTAAACAGTATTGTTTGTGTGCACTGTGCGGGTCAGCCTGCTCCATATAGTTCAAACGAGAAGCAGAAAGCCTGTGACATCACGTTATATGTAATCTAAGACACTGGTGTGTTTCTTATAAAGTAAGATCATGTTTGGTGATGGCTGTACCATTACTTTTGGAGTAGAGAATTATTCGAGATACAATTATATGATCGCGTTCTCCAGACTCTCCAGTTCCTATAGATAAAACAGTTAATATTTCAATTTTCAGCACAAATTCATATTTTAATCGTAACCTGTGATAAACGTAATGAAAATGAGAACGAAACGACAAGCAAATGTGAATGAAGATAATTGTATAAGTTGACCGATACCCTGATGATGCAGGCAGTACGCACACCCGAAACGTCGGTCAACTTCCACGAGAGTATACGACGCAGAATCCCAGAAGACAGCCATCTTGATTTACGACATTTTGAATGTAATGAAGGAAATTGCGTAGAAATGTAAAGATAACCTAACCCTAACCTTTATAACGATTACAACAGATTAGATGTTTGGGAATTACATTAATTTTTTGCTCCAAATGCCGGGTCAACGATGAAACATGAGAACGGAAAAACACGACCCGCCATTATGATCATTTATAAACTTAAAGGACACAAAAATGCAATGAAGACAAATCTTCCCCAGGCAGCTATGTTCCTGAAGTAGTCATTTATTAACACACACGCCTGCAATAGTATGTTTAGACTATACATCAACTTTATTTAAAGGGTTGTAGAATATGGTAAATAAAACTATCTTGTCTTCTTATTAGTCAATAATTATTCAGAGATAAAAGACAAGAATTAAGTGATATATGCTATTTTAAAGTTTTTTTGTGATATTGTAGACAAAATATTTAACTATTTTATTATTAAAAAACCCAAAACTGTAGCTTCATAACCAATAATAAATTTATAAACTTGAAAGTAATTTTAAGGCCACAAATATTGTGTGTTTTGTAATTTAAAATATATACTACTGATATTATTATATGTTATAGCTTAATATTTCAAGCACAGAATCATAATATTTGAATGTTCAGTTATAGAAGGACTTACGAAGAATATTTCCAGTATTAATTTTTAAAATATTGCCATATGTTACAATTATTTATATTCAATTCTTCTTTTAATCACTTTTCCAAATGTGTATTGTTTCCATGTATAGAAAATACACTAAGTTATGCGTGGATTAAAATTTGTAACTCTGTACTTTATTAACTTGAATCCTTTCCTTCTGAAAGACAGTTTAAAGGTAAAAGTATAATGAGTTACGAAGTTCATAAACATCACGACAAAACTTGCCACTGGATCATATTCTGAGTCAGTCCAACCCAGTTCACAGCTTCCATTTCAGAATATTAAAAGAAAGAAAATTCATTTATGTTCCATAGATCCTTTATAAGACTAAGCCAAGGATGTAGAAAAGTCATGCAAATATAAAAAATGTAATCGGTTGTTAAAGTTATTTATGCATCTTATTTAATAAAAATATTATAAGACCCAGAGCAAAGTAATGACATCAGAGAAATATCTTCAGTATAATATTTAAGACCTCACTTAATGGTACCTGCATCTTGTCGTGGTCGTGGGGCTTGAGTACCTCAGTGACCCCAAGAGCTACTGGTAGGGCGTCCCTAGCCAGATTGGTCGAGGGGGAGAGGTCAGATTAAGACAGGTACCCTGGTCCTCCAGGTTGGGGGTTGGTCGCAAGGCTAACAACCTTGCGCCGTAAGAAGGAAGATGTTTTGAAACTTTAATCAAAGCCTCGGACAGACGGACCTAACAGAGGACCGAATGGAAGAGGAGAATTGAGGAGGCCATGGACCGAACACGGACCAGAGAGCCATAGAAGAAAAAGAAGAAGAAATTATTTAAGAAATTTCAGTTAAAGTAACTTATACTACAGAGTAAGTAAGGATTTTACTTGTTAGCACTTTCTTTTACTATTTTAATATAACCTATATCCAGGCCATTACATATCCACAATATAATTACAAGATGTACATATAACCTTTATATACCGAATATTACAAGGTATTCAATAATCTTCCCCCCCTCCCCCAACTATAAAAAGTCTGAAAAATATATAAATAAATTTAAGCCAGCACTAAAAGAGGTACATGATTAGGGCAATCATGGATGATGGAGGCAGCAAGGATCTCTGAAGAAATGGTAAACTTCTACCAGACTATGAAGTGACACAACCCATCTTTGGACTCACTGCCATGAAAACCTCAAATCCTACACAGCACTAAAAGAGCACTATTTCACTCCCATTCAGTAGAAGAATTTACATCAACCAAAAATTTTCATCTATTATAAATACATGTAAGCATTAGTGAGTATGCTTTCTTTTATAAATATTTTGTGGTAATACTTGAGTTGCCTATAAATTACTGCCATAACTATGTAATTTATATTTTTATTAGAAGAAAGGATTGTATTTGTGCTATGACGTGTTCCAAAGCCTTGGCCTGGTCCCATGAAGAATCTATGGAATGTAAATAAATTCTATTCCATAATATGAATATGGGAATTTTATATCTACTTCTGTTTTCTATCATTAAAGCATGATTTAAACCACTCTTCAGCTTGAACAACATAAAATATTGGTTTCAATAGAAATTCACCATAATTACGGTCAGTGCTTTAGCAAGGTGAATAGGATATACCTGCATGATTTAACTCATAATTTGAACACCTACTGCTAATAATCATGCAAGAAATTAATAAGTTAGAAAAAAATAAAATATACTCACAAGGTGTCAGGAAGAGCATTCATCAGTTTCTGTAGATATCATGCTTCATAAACATAATATGTTCTGCAAACTATAAACATCTTATATTCACTTCATATAATAAATAAACATCAGTACAGTTTAATGACTTCTTCTCACACTATCACACTTGTCAGGTTGTTGAAAGGCGAAAACACCAACGTTTCGAGATCCATCTTCGTCCTCGTCCTCAGTGTAATTAAGCCAGAGGATAATTCATCATACTTAGTCGCCCTGAAAGCTTCAAATCATACAACAACAATTTCACTCCTGAGACTGTATTCAACATTTGAACACAAACCGCCATTAAACAAAAAAGTCAGAATAATACAAAGACATTCACCAGATGTCAGCAACGTGCGGTCAAAGCATATTCTGCCATCTATGGACCGTTGACACAACCTCAGGACATGATTTCAAGTGAAGATTGTCAACACCATTCGGAGAACGAAATACTTGAGCATTTATCCGACAGCTGGCACGCAATGTGTAGAAATAATTCATTAGCGTGCTTCGAATAGAATCGTAAGATCTATACGGGAGTAATGTTTTTGATAATGATGGCAACCATGAAATTGTCACAGTTTCTTCCTACATATATCATTTTAAATAAAGGAAATTTCACTCCATAAGCAAAAATTCACTTATTACTGCAGTTCTTTTTAAAATTGATGTGAGAAGTTGCACAAACTGCAGCAGAGTAGAAAGAGTGAAGATGTCTGCAGAAACATAATATTGTAACCCTTTTACTACAAGAAGGAACCACTATAAAAATCCTGGGAACATAGGGCTGTAGCTGTGGCAAACTTTATGAATTTGCCTAGGTGTCGGATAGCCGTAAAGAAAATCTCATTTTCTGCATGATGGGGGTTGTGGGAGAGGAGTGTAACCCCTCTGTTTAAGAAATAAACGTAACTTCAAGCCTCAGTGAATTAAACACCGGTTGAAATGTAGCATGATGAACTCTGCAACAACAAAGACAAATCGACCTTGTATGAAAATAAAATGGGACTGTGAAATAAATAATAGCATGTACTTTAAAAAGGGATGAAGTTAGTGGCATCTGTTTATGGACTATATAAACATTGTAGGTTAGTCGCTGTAGAGTGATGTAGTTGATCTTCTGTCCAGCCATTCAATGGTATTGTAGAATTGTTATGTTTATGTTATTTTGAGTAGGTGCGGTATTTATTATAAATTTACTGACAAAAACATAGGCAAACATGTCAGCAAGAGGTGGAAAGAAACGTCAGAAAGCAATGTCTAAGTCGCAGAGAGCTAACGTGACATTTCCGGTGGGGCGGATGCACCGGTATTTGAAGATGGGGACCCACCGTTTGCGTATTGGAGTCGGCTCTCCGGTGTACATGGCAGCCGTCATCGAATATCTTACAGGTATGAAGCAGAAATTGAAGATCACGTATGAACACGTGCACAAATTTATTGAAATAAAAGTATTTTTTGTACAAGTAATTCTGAAATTTCAGTTACAATACACAATTTTGAGCACAATTATTTTTACTTCCATGTAAAATTATTTGAATTGTGAGGTAATATTTTTAAATATGTTTTTATAACATCAGTTTTGTTTCAGCTGAAGTTTTGGAGTTAGCAGGAAATGCTGCAAGGGACAACAGAAAAGGACGGATAACACCGAGACACATTCTACTGGCTGTTGCAAATGATGAGGAATTACACTTGGTAACAGAATAATTTGTTTTGCAAAGTCAGTATCATGACTGGCTATGAACTGGATGACTGGGGTTCAATCACTGATGGGGGCAGAGGATTTTTCCTCTAGTCTCTGTGTCCACAACGGCTATGGGGCCCACCCAGCCTCCTGTCCAATGTGTACTGTGGGTACTTTCCTGAGAGTAAAGTGCAGGCGGGGCATGACGCTGACCACTCACCCCCATGTAGTGCTGAGGTTAAGAATAAGTAGGAGCTATACTGCCTCAACCCCCAATAGCCTTCATGGCCAAAAGTGGGACAGCTTTTTATTTTCTTCTGATTTAATTACTCTACATGATTGACTTCTACTGTTTGTATTCTTGTACCTTGCATCATGGTTGAGTGGTTAACATTAGCATCCCACATCATATATGGGAGATCATGGGGTCTAAAGTTAGTCTTTAGGCTGTTTATCTTCAGGCTTTTTCATGTTTATTCCACATAATTCACAATCCCCCCTCATTTGGTGCCTGCACCTGAGAAAGTATCAGTAAGCAAACTTCAAATGCATTCTTGACTTCAGTATAAAGTATAGTGGTAAGCTTATGCCCTGAACAAATTTATGGTTAAACACATATATGAGATATTGGTGCATAAATTGGTTAAAAATGGATGTATTGAGGCTTACTATGTGACTTCATACAGTCAATCTAATGATTGACTTTCTGGACTCACTTTCTGAAAGTTGTAAGCGTGGCTAGTATTTTAGAGAACTTTTTCAAGTATAATCAACTGTTTTATTCAGTCATTGTCAGACACAACTTCTGTATCACTGAAACTAAAACCGATTAGCCTGTTTTATTTAAGTAATTTAATCTGATTAAGCAGATTCATGTAGTAGTAATATTATTTATGCTCAGGGGATATCAATACTTGAGGTATAATTGTGATTAATATTAAATGTTAATATTTATTTATTTTTAGTTACTGAAGAATGTGACAATAGCATCAGGTGGTGTTCTACCGAAGATCCACCCAGAGCTGTTAGCAAAGAAGAAAGGTGGGAAGTTTGTGATGGGCAACAATATGCCACTTACAGTTCCATACAAGAAGCCCATTGCTACAAAGCCCATATCACACCACAAGAAACCGTCACCACCAGTACCCGCATCAAGTGGTGTTCGGACTAAGAAAGCATCTAGTTCCTCAGCAGGTGATCCTTCAAATTCCTGCTTGTTATTAGTTTTGTTTGTTTTTTACATTAACTTTTATTGGCTGCAGTCCAAAGGGTCAAAATAATATACCACTAAATCCCAGAGTTAAAGTGCAGCTGGTAATCTCATAGTATGAGGTCTTAAATCCCATATTATCATTTTACAAAGGTTAAATGTATGAAAGAATTTTAAGTAAAATTAGTGGATGGCTCATTAATCAGGAGGAGTAATAAGCATTCAGGACTTCATATGGAAAAACATTATTAAATATTACTGGTTGTAACAGGTATATAGAACTGTATTATATTAATTTGGGTTGAGACATCACATGTGTGTTCTTATAGTGAAAACTGGCAAAGGGAAGGGCAAAGCAAAGGAAACAAGTACTAACAGCACCACAGCTGGAACTGGGGTGACTATATTGTCGGAGAAGAAGCTGTTCCTTGGGCAGAAGGTGAGACTTTGTACCTCCTGAGCATGTGCACATATTCTGCATTAATATATGGCATATTTTATATCAGGACTTGAACAGTTTTTTTTTAATTCTGGTACCGAGACACGTGTTTCAGTGAGCAGAAGAAAACATCTAAATTCTAGGGGGTTAGGGCACTCTGAAAATTTGCAACATTGAGCTAGTCTGATGTGTCAGAAGAAAATAATTCAGTCACATCTATTTTGGGCAGTAAGTAAGCATCAATTTAAATGTCCTTTGAAGTAGAGTTTATATTCAATAGATGAAGATCAAAATGATTTTTGCCTGACTTCTTTTAGTTCAGACCCCCAAGTGCTAGTTTTCATCAGAATCCATTTAATTGTTTTGGAGATAGAACTTGTGGATGACACAGTCTCCTTTGACTTTGTGCAAATAATGTATAAAGATTATTTTAGAGGAAACTATGGAGTCTGATAAAACCATAACAGAAGATACTCCCTATAGCCATGTTTAAAAGTAAAGTATTTTCTTTAAGCATAATTTAATTACAGCTCACAGTTGTGCAAGGAGACATCACCAACATAACTGCAGATGCACTGGTCCACCCGACAAATACCAGCTTTGCAATGATGGGCGACGTGGGGCAGGCACTAGAAAAAAAAGGAGGAAAGGAGTTCTTGCAAGAAGTACATGACCTGCGCTCTTCCCACGGTTCCCTCGACTCCACCACAGGTACAACACACAGTACATTACATTGTTTTGACTGGCTGTATTTAATATACAAAATGTTTTAGTAGTTGGGTCAATTTTTGTCATAAGGTCTTTAGTTGTCATTACACTTACAGATGCATTTTTGTTATTTTTATATGTTTTCGTGTTTTTTTAAAAAAATATATATTTTATATTGGTGACAGTGGTAATAATTTGACTCAGAACCCACTGGGTAACATTACTTATGGAATTTTTCAATGTTTAAGCCGTGTTTCAGTCAGATTTTTGCTTTTATTAAAATTTGAATATTAAGAAGTTTATAAAACTCTCCATTCTATTTAGCTTTTTGCTTTCACGATTGTTTCAGCATTTATCTTTCTTTCTTTGTCTTACTACAGCAGCAGTATGTTCAGGTCACAATTTCCCAGCGAAATGGGTTATTCATGTGAATGGACCTTCATGGAATGAAGTAGATTCAACTGATAAGTTGGAGAAGACCGTGAAGAACTGTCTGACATTAGCTGATCAGAAGAATCTGAAATCATTAGCCATACCTGCTATAGGTAGTGGGAGGTATGTTCTACGAATGAGTGCCATTATTATCTATGGTTTTTTAGCAAGACAGTGAAATTCTCCTTTAATATAAAATAAGCAAACAAACAACTATTAACACTATAGAAAAGACACTTTTGTCATACGCATTTCAACCTCAAGAGGTCATCATCAGCGGCATCAGGGAAATTAATTCATTTAATCAAATGGTTTAAACTGGATTTAGAAAATAAATAATGAATAGGGTATTTAACAAAAGTATTTCAAGCGACACTGCACTAGATGTTGTTATTCACGAGGGTTGAACTCTGCACTTAGCTATTGATCCAGATTCTGGAGTTCACAGGTATGAATGACGCAACCACAGTTCGCCGTAGACCAGCTACGGCCACCGGACCATCCGATCAATAGCTAAGTGCAGTGTCGCTTGAAATACTTTTGTTAAATACCCTATTCATTATTTATTTTCTAAATCCAGTTTAAACCATTTGATTAAATGAATTAATTTCCCTGATGCCGCTGATGATGACCTCTTGAGGTTGAAATGCGTATGACAAAAGTGTCTTTTCTATAGTGTTAATAGTTGTTTGTTTGCCTATTTTATATTCTATTACACTACACGGTATGCAATGTTTTAAGATTCTCCTTTAATGTTTCTCTAGACGACATTAGATTTGGAAAGCAAACTGAGGATGAAGTTTAACATGAGATAATGAGAGTGGAAGGATATGAATTCAGCTGGAAATTAGAAGAAACATTAAATGTTTAAATTAATTCTAAAGTGTTCTGATGATATATTATAATTAGTTAATGAATTTCTGGACTTCTATTACGATCAAGTATTCTGAAAGGAATTGTTTCTTCTTCTTAGTTTTAGTTCTTACATATTATATGCCAGAATAATACCTTAAACTGGGTCATGACCCCTTCCTTCTATATAATTTACAATTTATTATTCATCAGTGATCCTATCATTTGACACTAATGACCATAACAGAAGACCAATTTCAGTGACAGATATTTCTTTCTTACTTTCTTATTGTAAATTGTCTTGTCTGTCATTAACAAAACCTGATCTTAGGGGTTTAGATAGCTTTAGTTGACTAACTGTAGTTGTCCAGTGATTGAGGTTAGCTTTTCTAATGGAGCCAACAGAGTAGGCATTCCCCATCTTGTGATAAAATCTTCTCAGGTGACTAGCCACATCAGTACGAATTTGTAGTTTGTTTCAGGTAATGATGTCATCATTCCCTGAGGATGGAGGCCGAGAAGGTCTCTGAAACAGACTGTGAACCCGCACCGATGTGGCTAGTCACTCAAAAGTTTGTATCACATTTAGTCACTGCAAAAGCTTCAAGTCATGTATAATTAATCACTTTCCTTGACTTTCTTTGTGACAGGGCTGGCTTTCCAAAGCAGCAGGCTGCTCAGACCATCTTGAAAGCGATCAGCAACTATTTTGTAAATGTGATGTCTTCTTCACTCAAACAGATCTATTTCGTGCTGTTTGATATGGAAAGCATCGGAATCTATACTGCAGAACTTGCGAAGCTGGACTCATAGAATACAATGTTAATGTGAGTTATCGATCAATAAGCAGCAGGTGCAGGCATGAGCTGCATAAAGGACATTTAAAACTCTGAATTTTATTTTGTCTTGAACTGCTTATGCATTTTGATGAAAGAATGGGGTGTATTGTGATGGTCACGTGAAAAGTATTTATCTAGTGTACATTTGTACATTGTATTAGATGTGGTAGTAGGTTTGGATAATGTATGGGGATTCTGGGTACGTTGTTTGTTTAAAGTGAGACACGTAGATGAAAATATGTGAAGAAAACTTAATTGTAAGTGGCCAGTTAGTATGGAATGACGCTTAATTGATTAATATTGAGTAGTACTTGGTACTCAAGAGCCTTGTTGTTAGTCATTTTATATTTTTACTTGACAAGTCTCTAATCATGAAAATGAATAGCAAATATGAAAGTGTGGTTATTGTAAGATTTCAGGTTCTCGTGGTGGTGAGTTTGAAGATGACAGCCTTCTGGGATATTGCTCCATGTAGTTTCATAGAAGTTTGACCAATGTTTCAGAGGTGCATTATCCATCATCGAGGTGATGCCTAATGATGGACGCATAACATGTCTCTGAAATGTCTCTTATTTTCTATGAAACTACATGGAACAATATCCTATAAAGCAGTCATCTTAAAGTGTGGTTATTGTTGTATATTTGAATTACCATGGCACTGCAGTACTGTGCATCTGGTAAGCAAGTACAAATTTATTGCAAATTTATAGTACTACATATCGCTGTTTGAGACTGGCAGGTACATAAATGGAGTTAAACATTTGCAGTGTTTTGATGGTCTTCGCAACTTCACACAAATTCAGTAACATCCCATTTTTAATAATTGTTTGTTTGACAAGACTTCAAACTGTGGGCAACTTTATAATATATTTGTGAATGAGTGCATGAATCCTGTAAAATTGATTATTGGGTACAATGAAACCACCAAGAAAACTTCCTCAGCCGTAAATCACCTAACTTGTCTTTGGTTAGGTATCCAGTTTGAATATTAACCAGAGAATGATTATCATGGCTTAAGTGTTGCGGTTTTTTCCAGAAAAATAAGAGGAGATAAGCCACATCTACTTCCTTCAAAATCTCTCCTGCATCAGTATATATGATTGAGATTTAAGAATTTAATTCTGCACTAATTAGACTATACATCTGGTACAGCCTTTATGAAGTATGACTACAGTGAAATTCCAAATATACTTTATTGAAATTCACAATCCCTATTTTAATTTCTCAATTGAAAATTTTATTTTTTGGGCTCTATTATCTATACACAGTGTGTGCATTTATTACATATTATATGCGAGAATAATACCTTAAACTGGGTCATGACCCCTTCCTTCTATATAATTTACAATTTATTATTCATCAGTGATCCTATCATTTGACACTAATGACCATAACAGAAGACCAATTTCAGTGACAGATATTTCTTTCTTCCTTGTAGTAAATATTTGTGATTTTGCTACAGTGAGAGATACTATCAGACATGGAAAATGCTGTCCAACTGTCTGTGCTGTTGAGGGTATACATTACCCAAAAACTAATTTGCAATAAACCAATACAACATTAACTGTGTCGGGCATTGAGAATGGGTGTTATTGATCAGAGCACATGTACAATCCAGTGAACTTCTGTTAACGTATGCGAGCATAAGTAATTTTGACGTGTTTGCAGATATGGCAAGTGCCTTAGAATCAGGTACATGCATGGCGTAAATAAATTTTCATTGATGGTTTCCTTATATTAAGATGCTTGTGATTTTATTTTTAAATTGGACACTAAAAGATATTCTCAGGGCACTGTCCCGACATTCGTAATATGCAAGTATTAGGAGTTCTGAACTTGGCTTAGACAAAGTCTGAAAACAATGGATTGAACATAGACCATTAATCATGTTTGAATATTTGCAGAATTTTCTTTGGCACAGTATTTTGCAACTCACATAGTTGTATTTTGCATTTATGAGAGAACTTATTACATTTTTTGTTATGTTTCCAGATTTTACTTTTCTTTTAGGGATTTTTTCTCCACAATATATTATTCTTTTTCTACAGTTACCAGAGTGCTTAGCAAAGAAGTTGGGAAGAAATCTGATTTGTTTCTGCTAGTATTAATTTAGTGCCCAGATTATAAGAGAATTCCAAAGCAAGTATTGGTGCAACATTTAGTTTGTTTAGAAATAGTCATACTATTTTAAATATAACAAGTCTGGAAAGTAAATAATAATGCAAAAGTATGTTGTTTTGTGACACTAACTCTTAGCTGCACCTAATGCAACATGACAGTAAAATTAAATTGTCCCTGTTGCATATAACATTTTCAAATAGTATTTAAAAAAATACTCACACATATACTGAATTCAAATGAAATTTATTTTTCAAATTGGTAGAATTTTAAGATGTATTCTGTTTCCAGCACCTACATAATTTGACACATATATCTGAAGATTCTGGTTTTATCAGCTAAGAGTTTGTATTGTGTAAAGAGGGCTTCAGTTAACTAGTCTTGATTGTGTAGATACAGTGAAATTAAATGGCACAGAAAAAGGTTACAGTGTAAGCCTTTTATGTGATGTTAATTGTATTTAGCTAGTCATGTTGTCATGGAACTTTGATCAAAATTTATTGTATTGTTTAGAAGACATTTTCTAGAGAATTTTATTTCATAGAGTAGCTTAATAAAGAACTGAAATGATGTGGGGTTACATCCATGTTCATAATGATGGTGTTCCTGTTATTAATCATTGAGCATTGTGTAAACTGTAATGTGGTTAATGGTAATTTCTTTAAAAACATACTTGTACATATTGTGTGTTTGTCTATGAGTTTGCTGAATGTGTATTAATTATGACCAAGTATTTTTACACTTCATAATGAATTTTTAAATAGTGCACATGTATATGTGTGTGTGTGTGTGTGTGTGCATATTGTATGTGCTTATTATGGTGCCATGTCTTTTTAATATCAGTTCTGTATTATATTATACTTCATCGCTTCAGTGGAAAAAGAAAAGTGGAGTGGATTTGTTGTAATTCTATTTATATGGTTTACTTTTCAACTGAGTTTAGGATAAAAAGTAATAACTTATTCAATACGTTGAATGGGTACAGTAGACTGGATGGCTGGCTGACAGGGATGTTAAAAATATTCACTTTATCATATTTCATAATTTGTAACTGGGATGGGAAGAAGGAAAATCATTTTTATCTCAGATTGTAGAATTATATATCAAAAAAGATAGTAATTAGCATTTATTAAGATATAATAAAATGTTTTTATATAACATAATTTGTACAGATAATTCATGAGATTTGTTTACAACTTTCTGTGATTGCACAGACAAACTAATGGCATGCATGTTTAAAAAATATGTAAATTAATTTCTAAAACCAACTAACCATACAGTTGCTGAAATTAACAGCTGAGTTCAATAACAGTAACAGTAAAAATTCAAACATGTGCCAAAGTGATACACTATATTTCTTGTATAGTAAATTAACAAGTATAGCTCAAACAAGATGTGAAGCTTAGATTGACTGCATAGCAGAGATTTGGTGTGCTTATATCTAAACATTAGTATATATAAGTTATATCTGTAGGAATTCTTTTTGCTCAAATAAAATATAACAAATTAAAAAATGGCTCATATAAAAAATATATACATAAAGTGAAACATATCATAAAGGTCTGTAACTTTCATTTGATTTTTTGTTTGTTATTTAATGAGATATGAGAAGTATACTAATCCTGATTTTAGTCCATAATAGGATCTTTTATTAAGAATTTTACCAGAATTTGATAAAGACCTCTGAACATTAATGTGCAACAGACAATATGTGATATGTTCACAGAACAGGAGTGTGCAACTGTAAGATACAGAGTTCAGAGCAGGCCAGCTTCAAAGTTTGGTGTAAATTATGGTTAATTTAACTGCTCACCATTAATGTAATAACTTAGTACCAAAATTAAAAACAGATATAAGGTACATAAAGTGGTGTTAAAAAGTAAAGTATAGTCACACATCACAGCATTTCCTTTTGAGTTAAATACTGTTTGAAATTTAAAATTATTAGTAATATACTCAGAGTGACTGACTACAAAGCTATAATTCTGGTAAATTAATCAAATTAAACTTTACTATTTCAGGCACTAAGAAACAAAATGCTTCAACATGACCATGTGTGTTCCAAACTTTGGTGCTTTCATTGACTTGTCTTTTTCTTTAATTCTTAGTTTTAATTTTAAGTTAGTTGGTTTTGGAAGGGAATTTCACTTTTCCAAATGTGTTGTGTTTTATGGATATTCACTGCCAAAATGTATAAGAATTACGCTGTGAACATTGTGTTCATGTATTTAGTAAGACTATTCTTTCATATTTACATACTTTCCTTAAAACATCATGAATATAGTGTTATGTTCTTTTGAAGTTTTTATTTTCATCTATATACTGAAATGAATTGTTGGCTTAGTGAGACACTTGTCATAGATTGTAAGAAAATTATACAGCATATTTGAAATGAGCTGGAGCCACGTATAAATATCGGAGGTCCATTCTGGATATAAACATAATGCAGTTTAATTTGTCTTTTTTGACATTTAACACACTAACTACTAGTACATAATTACTATGCCTAAGCTTTGCTACCAGGGTGTTTGGTTAGAACTGTGATTTAGGAAACTGGCTCATTGTACTAAACATTTGTAAATAATATAAAATAAATAACACTATCATTATTATCTTTCAGTTTTCAAGGAATTCCATCATTAACACATAACTGAACAAACATAGATTAAAGCAATGCATTTGCCATTGTGTACCACCCCCAGATTACAGATACTGTTATTGCTTTGTGTGGTGGATCAAAAGAAATCACATAGAAACCCCCCAAAAATTATTTTAATTGCAGTATACTAGATCAGAAATCTCCCGGCAGAACAAACAAGTGTTAATCATACTTTCCAGTCATGGTAGTATGGGTAGTAAGTGTGTTAAAGGCAGTATGTCACTATAAAAAGGAGAGAAACATTGTGTAGATTTAATATGTACGAAATGGGAAGTCATGGTTTCTAACATTTTCTAATTCAAGCACTGGTGTCAGTAACTTCAATATATTATACACCATTGAAAAGTAATGTTACTATAAATATTTAATTATTGTGCAGAAGTGTTCGAAGTATGTAATTGTTACATTCCTGTTACAGACCTGTTTAAATTGTGTTAAATCACAATTCCTATTTGTATCCTGTGCAGGTTTAGTGCTCACAGAACTAAAGTTTGTTTGGTCAAAGATGTTTATGTACATTTAATCTCTTATGAGAAACATTTAGATGAATGATTTTTGTGCAGTGCATGTGATTGTTGTATGGATAACTTTGATAATTGGTTGGGTAAAACAGAATTTAGAGTGGTGAAAGTAAATGGATAATAAAATATTGATATGTCACGGGGTTGGGTAAGGAATAAGTGAGTTTCTTGAAATTACCGTATGTTTTAATATATATTAAAAATATCAGTTGCTATGGGAACATAAATTAATACAAATTGTGCCCTTTAAAAGTATTGTCATTCAAGTGTAGTGCTGGACAGACCAGGGTGCCTCTGTCCTATGTCACTATTTTTATACCAGTGTAACTGTTACCATATGGTTCTGGACAGGGAAATTGAGACTGACATTTACATATTGGAAGGATGAAAGTTAAAACTTGTTTCAGATGTGACAGTTGCTTACCTAATTCATTCTAAAGCAAAAGATTTTAGTTGTGCTTCCAGACCTTGTATGTGTGTACATATGAATAAATGGAAAGTTGTTTAAACATTTTGGATCTGAATTTGTTTAATATTAAAAAATTAATATAAATGAATTGCTTCATGCCATACCTTAAGTGGCTGGACACTGGCTTCTGACTGTGGAGACCCTGATTCAGTCTTGGGTTACTTTGTGTGACACTGTTGATCTTGTATAAACATAATATGGCAATGCAGTGACACATTTGATGTACATAATCACTTCGTTTTATGTATGGAGTCATTCCAGTCATCAAATCATGTCATAAATTTTAAACCAAATACGGTACAACAGTCTTTATAATGTAATTTCTATGCTTCTATATCTCTCTTTGATGTTTATGTTAACATCACATAAAATATTCACACAATTTGTAATACTCCTAAAGAGTGGTCACAACCTTTCCCACCTCAAATCCTACCAAAAAATGTATGGTGGTTTGTGTAGCAGTAATAACCATGGGACATGGAACTGTATTTTTATTAATCAAGTAAATTGTCTCTAATTTCAAGTAATTAAGGTGCCATGCTTACATGAGTTTTTTGCCAAATTTAGCATTTCTAAAACTAAGGTGTCTTAAATAATTTCAAAAAGGGAACATTGATATGGACACAACAGAAAACAAATCACAAAGTTTTATATTGAAAATGAACCGAAGCCCCATTATATTCCACTATGCCTTTTACATCTCAGATGCTTCACAGTAGAATTACTTAGGGAGGGAGAAATACTGTTTGAGTCTAGCCTGAAACCCTGTGGGATGAGGTACAGAGATGTAGGAGCTATATATCTGAAAAGCTACACAGCCAATCAGCAGACAATAGCTAATCGGTGTATGTAACTATCACCTGCCTTGAAAATATTTAACATTAACCTTTCAGTTTTCTGCAGTTTGCTGTGCCTGGTAATAAGTTTATTTTGTGCTGTAAAGTATTTAAGCTATGGCTGTCTCAGAAGAGTGGACATATGAAAGATATAAGTTATCCACAATGAAACATGTGAACTTATTAGCTAGGCCTCTGCAGTGAGAAGCCACTGACTAAGTACCTGTGCAGACGGACCAGGATGTCCTCAGTGAAATATATTCCCATTTGGTAATACCTGATAAATACTAAAAGAAATGTCTGGTACCCCATACAAAAGAAACTTAGAAAATACAAAACTTACTGCCAATAGAAAAGAAAGTACATAGTACAAAAGTAAAGTAAAGTAAAGTTTGTCCCACTATACGCCATGTAGGTGTTTGGGGTGAGTGGAGGTATAGCTCCTCTCTTCCTTGACCTCAGCACTAGATAGGGGTGAGTGGTCAGCATCACGCCCCGGCCGGTTTTACCCCCGGGAAAGGACCCCTGTACCCATTGTAGAGGCGGCGATCGAACCCCAGTTGTCCAACCTGTAGCTAGTCACTATACTGACTGAGCTATCCCGGCTCATAAGTACATAGTACAACTTGGTTATATTAATTTTAAATGAGTAAAGTATGTGAAGGAATTTTAGGTTGTAAGGTCATAAAGTTTTCCCACCACAACAGGAGAACTTGCCAAATGCTGTATGCAAGTGTATGTATATATATATATATATCCCTGGTACCACAGTTTGAGAACTGCTGTTATAAGCAATTCAGCTTCTGTGATCTAGATGATCACAGATTGGAGATCACGATTTTATAAAATTTAAACAGTTTTGTCAGTCTCAGCATTGAACAAGTCTTTAGTTTCATATGCAGTACTTTTATTTGTGAACAGATCCCAATGTAATACAGAAGCAAATAGTCCACTTGAGATGCATGCAACAGTTACAACCATATTTCTGAAGGTAATTATGAAAATAAAAATACTAAATAATCACATCCATCTGGCCTTTATTGGCTAAGCAACAGAACACAGATATCACCTACAGTATCCAAAAGCATCATCGGAAACTTGTTAGTGCACAAAAATTTGTTCTGTATAACTGGTGTCCAATGCAAGATGAAAATACTGGGACATTATCACAATGTTCTAAATTTATAATTCTTTCAAAAGCAGCATGAGAAACTCCACAAAACAATGGTTAACATCTCTCTCAATTTCCTTATTACAGACTAGAGTATGTATTGGATATATTATATGAGAATTCAATATATCAACTTTTAAAAGGTACTTCAGTTCTGACAGGTCCAAACCTAAACATAATTGACAGCCTGTTATTATGTCTCACTTTTCAAATTCAATTCAATGTCCACACTGAAATGTTACACTACTGTTTAACCTGTTAATAATAATTAATTACATGATAAACCAAATTTAATTATGTATTTTATTCAGATCCTCCAATTTCAAGCTGTGAATCTACAAAATTTAGGTAGTTCTGTCCAACTCCAATAAGTGTGATTCCTGAGGATACTCCAACAAGGCTGCAAAGAGCCATGTTTTGAGGAAGTGCATTTCTGAGTACAGCCCACAGGAGGACTGAACCAAATGCAAAGATGACAGAACCAAAAGTGCTAGAAAAAGAAAATCATTAAAATATCACATTCAAATCTTATCAGTAGTTGACCTATTTTTTTATTTATTTATATCACTGCGTCGTTAATTCGTTACGTAACGTTGCATCAGTGGGGATGATTATGAAATAACAAAGTGAGAACGGAAAAATGACATTTTAAGGTATTACTAAGGTATCACCTTCTGGGGCCAAAGTTAACCATAAAATTCTTCAGCCCGAAAGTTGCATTTAAATTTACAATGGACATATATCTGTATGCATACAGCACACCCACTCATACTAGCACTACAACTCACCTATAAACAATTCGCAATGTCCATGGTGCAGCATTTAAATGTGGTCGATTATAAATGTACAATCCAGATCCAATAAATGTACTGAAAAGCAATATGTTGGTGACATCACGCTTTGGGGCGAATCTGTTGACAAAATTGTATTGGACTAATCACTACTACAGTACTACATCTGATCCGACTAAACTAACACTGCAACACATGACGAATTCAAGAGACTAACAAAATTCACATACCTTACCACCAAACCCGGGTTCATAACATTTACAGACAAAAAAGTATAGCTTGCGGCACCCAGAACAGGCGTGTAGTAGAACAAAACATTCTTCTTCGTCAAAGGCTTAAGTCCACATTCTTTTATTATTGAAAGTAATGACTTCTGTTCTTCTGCTCTTGGTTTGGCGGAAGCCATTTTCCAATAGTACGTTATTACTGTGGTTTTGGGCGATTGGTTTCTCATACGCGTACAATGTTCTGTGAAATATTGCTCAGAGTAACCAACAGACATGTAGAAATTTTCCCAATCGGAGTATTGAACTGAATGATTGAGAAACCTTTAGATTTCCCTTTTCCATATTTCGTTGTCTGTACAGGAAACGGAGTCAGATTCTGTGCCATTGTTTATTTTGCCGCTGCACATTTTTGGGTAGGTCGAAGCGTCAAATTGTGCATTCAACTTGACCGACGATGGCTTCGGCAAGTCCTGATTTCACAATGATAGGTTAGGTCAGGTTATGTTGGCATCCTCCTGCGAACCCAACTACGCATTCACCTTGGCCTACGCCTTTTCGAATAGGTCTTGTTTTGTCACGTTAGGTCAACTTACAAATATACTGCGCATTCGCCTACCCACCAAGACTTGGAAACTTGCCATTGTTTTATTCGGGCGACTAAGTTTAGAAATCGGAGTTCGGATTGACGATTTTTAATTTCAATTCAAAACTTTGAACAAAGTGAAATCCTTGTATTCTCTCACAAGAGAAATTAATACAATTGGTTGCCCTGTTACAAACTATGTGGGGAATATTTGCTTTTCATCAATGAAAATAGGTATTAGTTATAAAGGCGAGTTCCGTTGTCGGAACTGGTATTTTGAGTTGTTTGTTTGGTAAAATGGCTGACGTTGGTTTTATTGATAAAGAGAATGTCGGAGAAAAGGTAGAAAATTCTTTCGTCAAACAAGATAGAAGATCGGAAAGCTCCCAGCCAGATAGTAAAATGGGTGGTGACAATGAAGATGCAGAGTCGGTAGATGAGCAGCCTTTAGACATTGGAGAGCATTATTTAGTTCGAAGAAGCGATGGTTCCTGGCGTAAGTTGGACTGCATGCCGCAGACACTAAAACCTGTGATGGCATATTTCATTATATTTTTGAGCACATTTATATGTGATATGAAATATATTAACTCCGGCACAGCGTACTGCATTTTTATGTATGTTTTTGCCAATTGCATCAGCATTTAATTATACGGTAGTTAGGAAGTTGATCCAAAATTATATTCAGTGGAATCAAACTAATTGTGCATGTCTTATCACAAGAATATAGAGCTAAATAATCACGTAAAATCCAATAAAACCTTCCGAATTGTGGGAAAATAAAAATGTTTTAAAAGGACAATAACAAATCAAAGTTTATTTTAATGGATGCATCCTGTTGCGTTTTAAGCGTTAGGTTGACAGTCCGTCTACACAACAATTTTTTGATTATAGTCTCAATGTTTATTAAGATCCACTACATGTTTCGCCCCTATTTGGTCGTCTTCAGGTGATTCTCTTTAAGTGCTTGAAACATTGAGACTATAATTACTATCGACCAAAGTTGTTTTCCACTACGTTAAGAACAGATTTAATTCAGGGAATGCTTGCTACCGATCACATTAGTATCATATTTTAGCATTTATTTCATGAAAACCTAAAGATTAAAATATACACAGCTGAACTTGGTCACTTGCACTAAAAGAACATATGTTGACAAAGACTTATTGTTTTAAATATTAACATCTGGTTGATAAATGACTGTGTTGGAAATGTGACTGTTTTGATAGTGTGAGGTCCAACTAAGTTGCAGCTAGTTTTGTATTTTGTGTATATGGAGATTTAGTTAGAAGTCCTGTTGCAGTGATTGTTGTAGATAGAATTAATCTGTCAGCAAAAGTAAATAACCTATCACCTTGCTTCGCTTTATTACTGTGACCAAAAGCTTTATAAAAACTATGCAGATTTGGGTTTTTGAAGATTAACACATTTTGTCACATGTTTTTAGATCCAGCTGAGGTCATTCAGACCCGCTACAATGATGCTGAAAGCCACTATGAATATTATGTTCACTATGAAGGTTACAACAGACGTTTGGATGAATGGGTCCAAAGGGACAGGTAATGTATATCCTACTGGCCCAGAATAATCTGAGAACTGTTTATAATCAACTGTTAAAAATTATGTGACTTTATGATATCATGAATTTGTTCTGTAGCAGTTTGTATGTAGGAAACTAATATGTAAGAGCAAACATATTTCTAACTGGTAGTAACATCTGCAACATATGACATTGATAAACCCTAAAAGTTATACATTACAATATTGTAGCTGATGCCAATCACAAAGTCAGTGTTTCCAGAACATTATGAAAACAAGGTTTTGTAACATAATAGAATTATTATAAGGCCCAAAACTTAAGGTAATTGAATGCCTTCAAGCTCATGGACTTGTAAGGTCCAAGCATGGAAGTTAATCCAGTATCTTCAGACACAAAAATGGGTAGCAAGCAGGTGTGTCATACGTCAATTGGATGTTAAGTGTCGGAGTTGGATACAGTCTAACAGCAGCATCACCGTCACCTGTGTAATGGGATGGGTCACTCCATTTATATTTTATTGCCCTGGGGATTAGGTCAAGTCAGGCTGTTTTTTTTTATTGTGTAATCACAGTTTTTATGTTCAGTTTGCATTACATTGGGGTAATTTAGGTTAGGTTGAGATGGGCAGTGCATTCAGCATGCATGGGTGAGATGAAAAATGTGTTTATCATTTTAGCCAGAACACATACATGAAAACAATTTGTGAGATCCAGGTATAGGTTAACAAAATGGATTTAAAGAAAATGTGTGTTTGAATGGGATTCATGCGGCCCAAGATAGGGACCGTTGACGGGTTCTTGTGAACATGGTAATGAATATTTAGATTCTTGAAAGTTGAAAATTTATTGAATAGCTACATGACTTATTCCTTTTTTTTTTCATGGGTAATAACCACTCAGTTTGATATGTTGAATGATGGACCTGAAAGAATATCTGCCAGATTTAATATCTGATTAGTCAGTTGGGAAGCTTGAAAGGAATCTGAAAACAAGGCATGATGAAGTTAGTTGCATACAAATTATTTAGCTCAGTCACTTGCTCTCAACATTTGAGGTACTAGTCCAAAATTCTGACACGCCTGTGAGAAATTCTCCAGGAATTTTCCAACCCTGCTAATAAGTATTCCGTTGTTCCTCAGGGTAATGATTTCCCAGTTCGATATGTCCGATCAACAGTGGAAGAACAATGAAAGAATATCTGCTGGAGATTTACTATCTGATCAATCAGACAGGAAGATCACAAGGAACCAGAAAAGAAGGCATGATGAAATTAATCACATACAAAAGGTAATTATTTACCTTGTCTTATATTCAGATTGGTAGGGTATTTTATAAAATAAAAATATATATTGCATTCTAATCCTAAGTATTTATTAGAGTGACAACAAAGATGATGCATCTTCTTTGCTATGGTAGTATTCCAGGTGTTACCACTTTTACACCTCAGGGAAGTGGTATTTTTCCAGTATAGTGCAGTCTTGCATATTCAAGGGATGTCTTTTGGGATGAATGGTGCTGTTATAAGACAGCTGCAATAACCTCACTGTCCAGTGCCTGTCTACATGCAGCAGTGACTGAAAAAATGTTGATGTTTCTCTTTGTTATAATGATGTGTAGTCTTGTAGGTAGATGCCACCTTTTTTCTGAAACATTGGTGTCTTCCACCCTTAGTTTGTTGTTTATCATGGATTGAAATGAAAAGTACAATGATGGAAATTCAGTGTGTTTTTCTTAGCATACTTTATCAGTCAGTTTTAATTTACAAGTTATTTTGTGAGAATCACTTTGTAAGTTAAAATACTGAGTAAAATTTGAAGAGTTTTGAAAGTGAAATTAAGCATAAAGTATTAAGTGATAAACATGACACAGTCTGTCATATATTATTCGGTAAATTCTGCTTGGTAATTCTCTGAAGGTTATGTTGGACAGAGCCGTTGTTGAGGTGTACTTGCTTGAAGATGGAACTAGAGTCAGCTTCTTAAATGTTTTAAATGTCAAATTGTCAGACAGTGGATAATGTCCAACACAGTTTTCCTGTAAACAATTCTACTTGGTCAGTATTTTATGGCTAACCTAAATTTGTTTTTGTTTCTTGTAGACATATGCAGAAATGGACCCTACAACAGCTGCCCTTGAGAAGGAGCATGAGGCTATAACTAAAGTGAAGTACATTGACCGGATTCAGATTGGCAGATACGAGATTGACACGTGGTATTTCAGTCCATACCCTGAGGAATATGGCAAACAATCAAAGCTGTGGATTTGTGAGTACTGCCTTAAGTATATGAGGCTGGAGAAGACTTATCGATATCACTTGGTAAGTATATTCGGCAGAATCAGAGTGCTTGAGGGACATTGTTATTTGGCTGAAGTTTGCCATGAAGCTTGCATTCACAACGTATTGACACGTGATGTGAAATGTAAATGTGTTGACCCTGGTGCCTTTCTAAGCATTACACCATAAATACTTGCGGGAGAGTGAAGGTGTAGTTTCTCTTTTTCCTGATCTTAGCACTAAATGGAGGTGATTCATCATCTTCATGCCTTATCCACTTTTCCTGAGGAAAGAACCCATGGTATCCATTGGTTATAAAGCAGGGTGGACCCCAGAGCTGGTCTGGACACAGTAGCTAAGTGAAAAATTTATTGCTTTTGCTGGGAATGAATCCCAGTTGTCCGCTCCTTATCCTAGTCACTGAATGACTATGTGTTTATATACTGTGTATATATATATATATATATATAGTGATGGGCAAACTTGCCAGAATTAAGTTTTTAGTAAATGATCCCCAAAGTCAACACATATTGTATGTTCACTACTTTTAAACAGTGGGGCAATAGAGGTGAACTGTCTGCATGAAACGTTAGCCATGAGATAAAGCATGCATTCAGCTTTCTGACATTTTTGTGAACATGACTAAGTTTACACTTTTCATTCTGAATACCTTGCATGTGTGTGTTTTGAAGGGATGTATTAAATGAAAATTTTGTGGTTGAGAATTGTATCATACCAAATGAAACTGGAGAGTGCCTTAGATTTTTCTTGTGTTTTTTTCCCCCGAGTCTCTCAGACAAATGTCCCAAAAGAGGATATAACTGCTTCATTCCATGTTCCTCTCATTTCATTAAATAATGTAACAAAAGTCTTACAAATTAATGCTTAGAATGCAAGTAGTTCGTAACTTGGGGATGTTGTATGTGTTAAAATTTGGAGAAATGAGGACAAATAGAGAAACTTTCAGTTTTGTGGACTCTTGTAATTTTTAATTATTTCAGAGTGAATGTACATGGCGAATGCCCCCTGGGAAG